CGAGGGGTTGCGGGGGTTTGGGAGCAGCCGGATCCCGGTCAGCACGCTTCGTTCCCTTCGTCCACCAGCTCCCGGGGCTTTGCAGTGCACTTTGTGCCGTGGTTGTGCCGTAAACGGGACCAGCACAGATTTCCACGGTTATTTTTTCCTAGTTGAAGTCTATGATGCAGTTAAAATCCACAGGGATTTTTTTTTTCTAATAGCGCTTGTTTACAGGATTAAGCTCTCCGTTATTTGATATTTATTCCTTCTGTATTGTTATAGAAAAATGGAAATCGCCACCCCTCCGACGTCAAAATGCATTATATACTGGAAGAGAAAAGTCAAGTCTGAATATATGCGTCTTCGGCAGCTCAAGAGGTTTCAGGCGAACATGGGAGCTAAGGTAAAGATGTAACGACAGTAGCTCTAGCTGAAGGGATATCTCCTAAAGACTTCGCTTTACCTTCTAGTATTTGAGCAGCTGTCAGATGGGTGCTTCATCCTGCGAATTGCAAAGCTATATTTTAGTTGTAAGCTGGGTAAGTTTGAAGAGCTACTACTTCACCTCATGCTCCGTTATTAGCCTAGAGCTGTGCAGTCGGCATCCGCTGGCTGAGTGCTTGCATAACTGCAACGAGAGGACTCATTTCCACTTGTTCTTTAAAGTATCTCCTTGCTTGAACCCTCTCGATGCTGGTGGGTTTCAGACAACTTACTGTGATGCTCCTCTCCTTGGCAGGCAGGATTTTAGAAGAGGTCGGCTGGGATCAGGAGTTATCAAGGGCTACTGGCTGTTGGGCAGATTCTCAGCACAGTTTTGTACCAATCCTGAGTTAAATTAGAATGTCTTCTAACGAGTGTCATCAATTTGAAGTGCTCTGCCTTGCATACATTTTTGATACTTGAAACAAAATCTCAGGAGGGATTTTAGTGTTCTCAACCTGATTTCTTAAATTTTGAGTGTTGCTTTCTCTCATTTCAGGCTCTGTTTGTGGCCAACTTTGCGAAGGTTCATGAAAAGACTCAAATTCTGAATGAAGCCTGGAAGAAGCTTCGAGTCCAGCCAGTGCAATTGATGAAGCCTGTCAGCGGGCACCCGTTCCTAAAACAGGTGTGGAGAGGAAAAGGGGCACCACAGCAGCAAGGGTGAACTAGAACCAGGGCTTTGCAGGGAGCTGTGAGGATATGGGATTGTTTTTTGTGCGTGCTGTCCTACGTCAGTGTCAGGCTGTGCCTCACATTCTTCTGGGATGCAGAAATGGGGGAAAAAAATCCCCAAACCCAAAGGCCTTTCCTGTGAAGGAGTCCCAAAGAGTGAACCTGGGGCTTCACTGTCTTTGTCCTGAAGTGCAATTTCCTTCTGGCTGTGACTGCCTCCCAGGCGCTGTTTCCTCACTGCCCTTCTCTGTACTCACATTCCAGTGTACTGTTGAGAGCATTTTCCCGGGATTTCCAAGCCAGACGCTGTACATGAGGACCCTGAACACGGTGGCCCTGGTGCCCATTATGTACTCCTGGTCTCCTCTTCAGCAGAATTTCATGGTACGTAGGAAGGCTCTGGGGTGCAAGGTCTTGGTGCGATTAGCGTGTAATTATTACGTGGTTGTAGACTGATTATACCTTCTTCAGCCCACTTGTTTCAAGCGATGTCCGCTCGAGAGATGACAGAAAGTATTGTTTCAGTTGCTTGTTTTGTTGAATCCCGTAAAACAGCCTTGTATCCATGCTGTCTTACCCAGCTAGTCTCTCCTTTACACCTGACTCCTTGCTAGGGCCACCATTATTTCACAGGAGTCAAGGAGTATATATGTTTTGAGAGGGTTTTTTTTTTTTTCCTTAAGATTTGTCTTCCCTTTTAAATGAAGGGTTTTATTTCTTAGGTAGGTCCTTTCCTTTGTGACTGGATTACCCTGCCAGTCTCATTGTAAGGATGCTACTGAGGATCAGTTCCTCTATCATAGTAGTGTGGGAAGTGATTTCAGTGCAGATTTTGGTGTGGCATAGTTAAGAATACTTTTCAAACAAACAGGAGATCTGTGGCTAGCCTGGCTCTTTGCCTGGTGTGGATGTGTTCCTGCAACCTGCGGGGCTCTCTGAAGCCTGCCGTAGCAGACCGGTGGGGTAGTGTGACACCAGCGACTGTAATGCAAAGAGTCGGTCAGTGGTGCCATGGCAATGAGGGTCCAATGTCCTTGCTCCTGTGGTTAACACGAGAATCTCCTCAGCTTTGGCTGTGTTCCTCCGGGGAGTGAGTTACCGGTTTGCCTTTCAGTGTCCCAGTTCTACTCTGCCTTGAACACAATCTCTCTGACATTTTTTGGCTGTTTATTATTCTTGGCAACGCGCGTGTTCCTGAGTTTCTGTAAGCATTGGAGGCGCAGCTCCTCTTTTTTAAAGCAAATTGCACTTTCAGGGGTCAGAGTTATGCTGCTGGCATGGGATAACAATGAAATGTCAGTGATGAGACATCTGAAACTGCAGCCGCGGAAGCTGAACCTTTGCTTTGCACTGTGGTGTCGGTGGGTCTGAATGGACAGGAGCAGCCTCAGCCACACAGCCTGGCTGGGAATCGGCAAGCGCTGGTTTTCTGAATTGCATCTGATCTCTTTTCAGGTGGAGGATGAAACCGTTCTCTGCAATATCCCTTACATGGGAGATGAGGTGAAGGAAGAAGATGAAACTTTCATTGAAGAACTTATTAATAACTATGACGGGAAGGTTCATGGAGAGGAAGGTAACCTGGGAGCAGTCAGCACTGTCCATTCAGTCTCTTACAAATAACATATCAAAGTAGTTAAGAAGTCAAAAGGTGGCAGCAGTAACCAGCTTTTCTGTGGGAGCTCTTAGAGCAGAAAAACAGGAACGTGCCTGCTGTTCTAGTTTGCAAGGACACAGTCCTGCCTTTTGATATCCTGCTCTGTTCTAGGCCTGGGGTGCTCTGGAGCCAATGCTCTTGTTCACGGGGATTCACAGGAGTGCTCTGGGGTGCTGAAAAATGTGCTAGATCGTAAAACCCTGCCTGGAGGGAGGAAGGCAGTGGAAAACTCTGGAATGGCCTGTCCTCAGATTGCTAAAAATGATACACCACTCCTATGACTCTAGCATTAAAATCCCATAAATCCTATCCCTACAAAATTGCAAGGCAGGTTCTGGTTGCTAACAGCGTCATGTGGCTGGCTTGTGATTTACCACCATGAGGAGCGTGAAAGATGATGGCACACCCACAAACTGGCTGACATCTCTGTGTTTCAGAAATGATTTCAGGATCAGTCCTCATCAGTGATGCTGTGTTCCTGGAGCTAGTGAATGCCCTGAATCAGTACTCAGATGAGGAAGAGGAAGGACACAACGATTCTGAGGTTAAACAGGAGGATGGGAAAGAAGAGCTGCCAGTCACAAGGAAAAGAAAGCGAATTGCAGTGGAAGGTGGGTTTGGCCACAGAAATTGGGGCTGCGTTGGTCACGTTTCCATCCTGCCCTGCCTGAGTAGCTGGCCAGTGCTCTCCTGCCATCATTCTTCGTTATTAATGTGTCACTAAGGGCAGTAACCAGCTTGGCAAGTTCTGGTACAGTAGTCGAAGGCAGAAGGGAAATCGGTTGTTCTCACTGTCCCCTGCAGACAGGATAAGAAGTCATCAGCTTAAAGTGTGGTGAGGAATAATTTAGATGAGTCATCTGGAAAACCATTTCATGGTAAGATTAGCAAAGCAGCGGGGTACTATCTGAGGAGGCTGTGGGATCTCTGCTCTTGGAGGTTTTAAAGTGCCGGTCTGACAAGCACGTGTTTAGTAAGTTTGTAGGTAGGTCTGATTCTGCTGTAGGCCAGGGAGGTGGACCTGTTCAAATCCCTTCCAGACCCATTTTCCATGTATTAGTGTTCCTCTTCCCTCTCGTGTGCCACCTGGAGTTCTTGTTACATAGAGGAAGCTCTCCTTTGTGGGATTTTCATGTGTCCTGCATGACCTTAGGAATGCTGACTGGTAGTTTCATCTTTGTCTTTGGTTTATAGTTATACGGGTAGCACAAATATCAGGACCTTTCGCAGATGTAGAAAAGCATTGTCTGCAAATCCTTTCTTGGTAAAAATAAATAGTAATAGTCCTTAAGAAATCATTGGTACTTCCACCGATACATTATGCTACTTCGAAAGTGGCAGTGTACTGCATCTGGAAATGCCTTAGCCTAGTTGCAGGAGGACAGCTTTATCCATTGTATGTGGGATTACATTTCTGTCTCTTAAAATACAATCCTGAACACCTACTGGAATCTCTCTAATTCCTACTGGAATTCCTACTGGAATCTTCTGTAAAAAGGAAAGACACGTTCACATCCAGCTTAACTGAGGACTTTTCTCTCTTTCCTAGGTAACAAGAAGTGTTCAAAGAAGCGGTTTCCAAATGACATGATATTCACTGCTATTTCTTCTATGTTTCCTGAATATGGCTTCCCAGATGACATGAAAGAGAGGTAGAAGATCTCTACTTAAGTTGTCTGTTACCTTTCTTAGCAACAATTGAAATCCGTATTTCAGAAAACAGCACTGGGCTCTGACCAGAAAGTAGAGCTCAGTTGGCTGCAGGCACCATGAGCAGAGCGGTTTTTGAGCGTTAGAAACTTTAGTTCAGCCTCAAGGTATCTGGGCCAGAGTCCTACTGGCCCAGATAGTAATGTAGTTGTGTAAAATGTCCCAAATTTGGAAAGCATGCACATCTGTGGGTGTTTCCGTTTGTCAAATAGGTACCGGGAGCTCACGGAAGTGTCAGACCCGAACGTGCTGCCGCCGCAGTGCACTCCCAACATAGACGGGCCGTGCGCGAAGTCAGTCCAGCGGGAGCAGTCCCTGCACTCCTTCCACACCCTCTTCTGCCGCCGCTGCTTCAAATACGACTGTTTTCTGCATCGTAAGTGCAGTCTTGGCCGGACGCTTCCCTAGAGCCCTTTTCTCCTCATTTTTCCTCAGTGCTTCATAACTCTGCACGCCTTGCTTAGTGTCTGTGCTGCAGTCTGTAGAGGGTGGTGCCTCCCCGGAGTTTGCAGTGGAGCCTTAGGAGCTGACAGGTGCCCAGAAGCCTTTTGTAAAGACGGCTCCACTCATTTCCTCAAACGGATGGTAAACCGACCTGCGTGGCCGTCCCCTCTTTCTCACCACTGTTCAGCACGCCGTGTTCGAGCCTCCTGGCGTTTTGTGCCAGAAATACTGCCGCAACTAGACTTTTACCCTTGCTTTGCAGAAGCTCATCAGGGAAAGGCATGAATATTTCACTTCCAAAGTCTGGACATGCCCCTGTGTTTTGTTGCCTCACTGGAACTTACAGCTTCATCTTAGTCATGTTCCTGCGGTTTGTCTTGCTAAAGCCTTTTGGATACTGGTTAGCTGTTGGACCTGCTGTTTCCCAGGTCTAAGGGCTTCTTTGGAAAGCCACAGGACTCTTTCCAGTGAATTATTTATTAAAAGATATAATATTAAGATCATGTGGTCTTTTTTTTTTTCCAGTCTGAAAGCAGATCTTTTTCCTATGGCCTCTCCTTCCCAAGTGTTCCCCCAGGGTATGCTGAGTCCCCGTCATGGGTTGGAGCAGGGCTGGCCGGGAGGTCCTGCTGCCTCGTTCCCCGCTGCTGGGAGAGCTGCTGGGGCACTCTTGCTGCCTGCCTCTGGCTCCCACTTAACCTTCGTTGAGTTCGTGCTGCCTCTGTCCCTTGCAGCATGGGGGGAGAGCCTTGGAGGATGCTAATAGTAAAGATAACTATTATTTTTGCAGCTTTTCATGCTACTCCTAATGTGTACAAACGAAAGAATAGAGAGACCAAGATCGAGCCAGATCCTTGCGGAGCAGACTGTTTCCTCTGGCTGGTATGTTTCTGCGTTGCTGCTTTTGAAACCACGAGAGAAGTGGCCTGGCCAGCCCTGCTCTGCAGAACTCTGTGGGTCCTTTTCACAACTTTGATGATTTTTCAGAATTGGTTGTCATCCTCAGTGGATTCAGGGGGGCATGAATTCAAATACAGACCTTACCAGATGCGTATTTCGGCACATCTCCAACGAAGGCTAATTTCATAGCTAGCAGATGGGAAATTGTGGTGACAAATGATTTCTCTGGACTCTGCAGCATTTGAAAAATGAAGCCCAGGTTAAAAATGCTGGGGAAGGAATCTAGCATATGAACTATTTTCAAAACGATCTTTCAGAAATACAGCCTATCTGTGTTACCGGGGATGAGAGCTGCAGATTGGAAGAGCTGGCTGCAGGGAGGTGGGTGCGCTTGGTGGTGTCGGAGCTGGTCAGCTGGCTCGGACACGGGGTGTCCCAGGGAGCTGCAGGGCTGGAGCAGAGGAAGAGGCCAGGAGAATTTCATTGCCAGGGCAAGAAGCAGGGAAGCAGACAGGAGGGCCGGGGCCAGGGAGCCTCTTCCGACCAGGCAGTGGTGCCGAAGGAAGCAAAGCGGGAGTGTGCAGTGCGGGCAGCTGGCAGGGCCTTGGCACTCACTGAAGTGACCATGCGTGGCGGGTTTTCCACCTTTTCCTGGTGTCCCAGGGCCTGTGGAAAAGCATTTCTGTGTTCCCTGGTCACCTGCCACCTGCCTTGTCTTCTGCTCTGGTTGCAGGAAGGAGCCAAGGAGTTTGCTGCGCTGCACAACCCCAGGTCCAAGTGCTCCGGCCGGCGCCGCCGGAGGCACCACGTGGTGGGTGCTTCTTGCTCAAACACCCCGGCTTCCACCGTTGCTGAGACGAGGGAGGGCGACAGCGACCGAGACACGGGCAACGAGTGGGCGTCTAGCTCCTCGGGTACGATGCCACCCCAGAGACACCCCTCGGGCAGTAGGAGCAGTAAGGACGGGCAGCACCGCACATCTGGGGCTCTCCCTGTCTTGCCTCTGCGTCCCGCACCCCGCACAGGGGTGTGGAGTTTGGAGTTAGCAAACAGAGTCGGTGTTTACAGCTGGGCTTAAACAAACATGGGGGACACCAGGCCCTGCCCTTGCTGCTGTGGGATTCATTGTCCTCTCCCAGGAAGGAGGAATGTTGCCAGGCAAAGTGAGAGCTTTGCTGAGACCTGCAAAGCCAAGAGCCCTCAGCTCTGAGCTTGGCTGTGCGTGAGGAAAGTGCCCCTGGCAGGGCAGTGCCCGGGCAGCGCCGGTCT